TGGGTTGTGGTTTTGCACATGAATCTGGAGCGCCAACCTGTGGCCGGGACGATACAGTTGAATTTTTTTGGGAGGTGCAGGAAGTCTTCAGTAGATAGTTCCTGCTCTGGGTTCGCCGGTCAATACACCAATTCAGAGCATGAAAATGAAACACAACGAATCATCCACATCCTATGCTTTTCATTTTACCATTCTTTTTTTATGAGCGTGCAGAATTCTCGTTGTTTAATAGGGTAAAGTTATTTACCGTCTATATAAATTTGCAACTCCTAGGCATATTCAACGAATTACTACCCCGGTGCGGACTATCCTATCATTGGAACCCAATTCTAAAAATATTAGATTCTCAGAATCTAATAATATCTTATTGTAGCGTCAGAAGTCTAGCTCTCCATCACTAGTACCGGTACCCGTAAGGCAAAGCAATAAAGCCCCCCTGGCATCTCTCAAACCCTTTCGTCTTGGGCGCTTCTTCACGGCTATAGGTATCATCACGGCTATAGGTATCATGTCCAGAAAAAGATCGTTCAAATAAGACTTGAGAAACCTCATAATCAATTCCTAAGCTTGCAACCAATCATACATGAATCATCCGAGAGAGCATCGCCCTTCGTAAAGAAGCACGGTTCGGTTCACAGGTAGTGCACAGGGGATCGAAGAGAGGACGACGTCAAGAATACCGGTAAGATAAGATAAAGATCACGATGCGGCTCTGGGGGTATTGCTGACTAAGCGTAAAAACCTCCACTGCTTTTTTCCACGTCACGTCGCGAAGCGCGAAGCGCGAAGCGAGCCGCAACGACGACGGCGGTAAGTCATGACGAGGGGAAAACGACAGCCTCTGCTTCGACACCCGCAGCCGGAAAACAGGATCAGTGTTTGGTCTGCGCCTGAGTCTTTAGTCGCTACCTGTTTCTTCTGACGGGGGACGACGGACGACGCCTTCTGCCGCGTCGCGGGAAGAATGGTAGCGTACGACGGCCGATACCCTTGATTTGACGTCGAGACCGAGCCGGCGCCGGCGCCGGCTGGCCTTTGATGAGATGATTGAAGGGTGAGTAGCGATGTCTGCGGTGGTGGGGGACTGGAAAGGGGTTGAGGGGGGGGGGGGAAGGGTAGGGGGTTGATTGGTCTTTGAATTTCTGGGATGCGAGAGGGGTGTACGTGTATAAGTGATGTGTGTAGGCGCCTTCGACCCGCGAGGAGGAGGAGGAGGAGAAGAAGAAGAAGAAGAATAAGAAGAAAGGCTATACATACTCCATGAAAAGGGAAGGGTTAAAGCAGAGAGCGGTGCGAAGCCAGCTAGCTGTGATTGAAGTTCTCATGTGATGCTGATATCAAAGAAATGATTTTTTATTATTATTATTATCATTATTTGTTTTTACCTCTTGGTCTATATGCTAGGAAGCTGAACGACGCTACTCTGCCTCTCTAGAGAAGAGAATGCCGGTGGGGGAATTCTCGAATCTGAATCTGAATATGGACACAGCTATGTAGGCCAGAGGTGAAGAGTTTCCCGGGTTTGCGTGATCATTCAGGAGAGGGCTTTCCTTGGAATAGAATGAAAACTCGAGGGAGGGGGGCATTTGGCTAGGTCGTTTCTGGATCGCGGCAGCTGCGAAATGTAAGTTTGCGCTGGGGATATCGCGTATTACTAACATGATAGGAGGTCTGGGGAACTTTTGATTAGTTGGTGGGGGGAGGGAGGTCTCTGCTGTTTGTACGTTGCACGAAACTTTCCTTGACGGCTGGGCAAGACGCAGGCCGGGCTAGCATCCTCTTCTGTCCTTCTTGGGCTAAGAAGTATGCATAGGTCAATCAAGCACAGCTAGCTCCGAGAGGACTTGGAGATTTTAGTACAGCAGTAAGTGGCTCCTGCGAAAGAAAAGGAAA